GTCATCCTCAGGCCGTTTTGCATAATAAAAATGAATGTAGGCCTGGTGTTAAAGGGAATGGAAATTCTTCATTTTTTTCACTCATTTTTAATAGCTTTGACTCTCTCTTTTTTTTTTCTTTTTTTTTTGTAATAGCATGTTACAGCTGCTGAAGTTAATGAGCAAACTGTTGTCATTTAAAAATATAGCTGCCAAAGTGAATGCGCAAATTGGTGTCATTTAAAAATGTACAGTTATTAAAATTCTTAAACTCTTAGCTATTAAAAGTTTTAACACATACTGTATAATGTCTCTAAAATTCATTTCTATTTTAAAATGTTTTGATTTTTTTTTTATTAGAAAATATATTTTAGTTTCAGTTTTTCCCAGTTAATTATTTTTTTCAGATACCAGATTAAAAAAATATATATATATTTATCACTTTACTTTTCATTAGCGATAACAACATTGATGTAAGCTCCTTAAAGGACCAAAAAAAAAGGCACCATAAATGCATCAGAAACGTAATCCACATGATGTATCCACATGTATGCATTTATTTGATAGCTTTATGTAAGGAAAATTAAAAAAAAATTAAAAATCTTGCTTGACAGCCATGGTTTGCTTTCATTATATGAACAAGAGCAGCTTGGATATTCTGCTTTAAATAAGTCCTTTTGTGCTCTAAAAGACAAGGGTGAGTAAATGATGACAAAAGCTTCATTTTGGGGTGAACTGTTCCTTTAAGACAGTGTCTTGCAACTTTGCCTAATTCATCATAGTTTGAGTGTTAAACAGAAGAAATATATTGTCCGTCTCAGCACCCCTGAATTGTTTCCTTTCAAAGCCTTTATTACGACCAGATCGTCTGTTCTCATGCATTAGCATGATTGAGTATGATAGATGGCACTGAATGGGTTCGATTTAGTCTGAAACTCCATAAGCGGCGAGTGCTTCCTTCATCTGGACACCATGATGGACAGACGCCAGTGCAGAGGGCAGATCTGGCTTTGATGACCTTCAACCTGGTCTTGACCTTGAAACCCTGCGATCGGGCCACTCGGGAGCAAATCTGGGGCCTCTGGAGCGAAAGGCCTTTGGTGACTGTGAAGAATGAACGTTTGCACCAGCAGACAGAAGAGAAGAGAAAATAAAACAGAAGGTCCGTTCTGACCCTGGTGGAACGGTGCCCTGGGGAAGGCCCGCGCGGGTCCAGACGTGTTTTTGGGGTACAGCTCGTGGATGACCTCTGGGTGAGGAAGGGATCAGGTTCTAAACAAGCACAGGCATATTACGGGATTTATGAAGCTGCTGGGGGACCGGGGCAATGGTGCGAGGGTCACCTTTGATAGGAGTGAAAGGAGATGTTTGTGCATGTGTGAAGGGTCAAAGGGCGTTTGTCCAGATTGTTTGTAAGCATATAAATGTGTTTATGCATCTATGTTTGTTTTTTGAGTCAAAAATGGCTTTTGACAAGTAAACGAAACTTGCCAATTCAAATCAGAGACATGTTAAACTGGCTACTAAAGAAAATATCTGGTGTGACTTGGTAAAAATATTACAATTTCGAAATTTAAATTGTAATATTTCACAATATAACTATTTTTACTGTATTTCCGATTAAATTTGAAATATAAATATTATGTTATAAATGTCTTCACTGTCACTTTTGATCAATTTGATGCATTCTATAAAAGTATTAATTTATTTCTTTAAAAAAAATCAACATTGATGAAAATAAGAAATGTTTCTAAAGCACCAAATAAATTATAACTTCTGAAGGAAATAGAATAATTACATTTTAAAATACATTTAAATTATAATGAAATTATAATTCTATTTTTTGATCAAATAAATGCAGTTTTGACTTCTTTCAAATTATTCCAAACTATATAATAATAATAATTCATTCATTCATTCATTCATTTACTCTTACTTTAAGATGAAATTCTAAAATATTTATGGCCAGTACATTTTCTCAAGTATGGCAAAAAGTTTTTTTAGACCTTGTGCACATGTGTATGAGGGGTCAAACTGCTGAACGTTCTCTCTCCTGATCGAATCCAGCTGTGTACTCCTAAGCTGTTTCTTTTTTTTAATTAACATGTAAAAAATATTAAAGCTACAAATTCCCGACCCGATGATGCTTTGTGCAGGTGATAGCCAGCAGATGGTGGTTTCAGGCAGAAAATAACCCCCTCCTATGCCTTAAAAAAGACCCTATTTGCATTTCATGAGGTTTAATTGTGTCTCTTGTCCCTTGGTCCATGGTCCAGCGATGCTATGCCTGTCAGAGAGAGCTTCAGAGCCACTGAAAAAGGCCTGATAGATTAAAGTGGACCTTCTGTTTGCGTCTTTTCCCATTGTGTTCCAGAAATGAAGGAATATTATCTCCGTGAAGACTGGAGAATGGATAGCGGAGGCGTTAATGACATTGGGTGGGTAGAATTAAAGGGTTGAGACGTGGGCGGGGGGCACAGGAGACTGAGAGGGACACGATGGATAATGTCATTATTTTGTAGTCTCGTTCGTGACCCAGAGGACGTAAACAATTACGGTGGCGACAGAGGAGGGGCTTGAGGGGCATAAACAAAGCTGGCGGTGTGGTGTGTTTACTATCCTGTTGTGTTCATGTATCAACTCTTAAAAAGTGTGTTTGGGTTCTGTTTTTTGTCAATGAGACCTTTCAGTGAGTCTTGTTTCACTATTACATTTCGCACCTGTTAAGTTTGCTCACTGCAGTTATATGAACATCTGCATACACTTTGTTTTTGTTTATATCAGAATCTTTGGTTTTATTACCTAAGTAGTTTTTTTATTAGCATTTTCTCTATAACATACATCATCTCCAGATCTTCATAAGGATCAGGGCTTTTGGAAATCGGACGGGGTGCTGCAAATCATTCTGACAGGCTGAAGTTGCAGGGGTTTTGTGGTCAAATACATTAATTACCCTCATTATAAGATAAGACACATGGGTGATATTAATTTGTCTGCCTTACAGAGACGTCCCCAAGAGAGCCCAACATCATCCGATTCCTTTAAATAGTCATTGTGAGTATTTATATCTATGATTTATGGATAAATGAAGGAGCATGTGTTTTGATGTTTTTTTTTTTAAACAATGAAATGCTGTTAAAGTATCCAGTTCAAATATATATTTATATTTATAAATTAATAAACAAACAAACAAACAAATATGAATTATATATTGCACAAATGCAATTGTTAAATTCATATACATATTATGTAGTTCTGTACACATTTATCTGCTGCAGAATAATTGTATTATAAAATGTGAACAGGAAATTCACCTATTCAAATTTTCTTCAGTTATTTTACAGAACGTGAAAAATGCACCTAGCAAACAAAGTCTAAATGCATTCCACTGCTGATTATTTCATGAACGGTGTAATTAGATTAAATGGACTGTGACACTTTGTAAAATGGTGTGTGACATTTTCTTTCTCGTCCCTTTTTTCCCTAATCTGTTTTGTTCTTGAACTCTTTCAGACTTTAACTTTTTTTTGTTTTGTTTTTGTTTTTGTTATAATTATTTGTGTTAGAAGTTTATTGCACATTATCATAGCCTACAAAGTTATCAAAAATCTCGCTAGAGGGAAGCAGGGGGCTTTGGACTATAATTGGATATTTAGGATCTTGGGGAAAATACTCTGAATGCCTTTTTTTTTTTTACTATTATTTAACATTTGACATATTTAATAATGTTCTGTTCTATCTAGTGACAAGTTTAGTGTCTTTGTACACTTTAGTGACCTGTAGCTGTCAGATAAGAATCTCAGAAGAATGTTTTGCTAAGGTGCCCATTCAGTTATGAAAACTGAAAAATCTAAATGTTATCATTTTGCACACATTATGGGAACATTAGTTTGGAATGTTCTCTGAAACAAGTATGAAGTAGCAAATTTCAAAAACATTACACTCACGTTCTGAAATTAAAATGTTTCCGCAAATGATGTATAAATCATGATTTTGTGCTAACGTTTTAATAGACCAGATAACATTGAACGAGAGTTGTATTAATGTTACTGGAAGTACATTTGTTCATATTTTTGAGAGAACCTTTCCTGAATGTTAGCTGGGGTGTTGTTGAATGTGACACTAATAGAATGTGCATTTATAAATAAATTAATTAATTAATGACTGAATAAATAAATAAATAAAGCTAAAAATGTCCTTAGAAATCAATATCAAACATGGCATCTATTAAAACATTAATTTCTAACGCTGGATGGCCTTTCTCATATTTCACATATTAAGTTGCACTATTTAAATTACACCACTATGTGGCACTATTTCCTGACTTTCTTTTTTTTTTTAGGTCAGTGTTTCTCTCAACTGGTTGTGCTGAAGAACCTAGAATTTCAATATTACATTAGCATGTAATATGCAGAATTATTAATTACATTTTCATAGGCTGAATAGGGTGATTTTGTAAACAACAGCTGATTCTGATATCTAAACCTGTGCAAACCTGGCACACTGGATGTTGATTGATTTTTAGTTATTTTATAAATGTAATTTCATTATTTGCTGTCAAAACCACTGACATTTTTGAAACACAACCCAGCAGATGAAACCACTGGTTCATTTGAATTCAAATGCATTTTTGCAGAAAGTAAAATGAGAGACAGTTTTCTGGCAAGCAGTATTTTTTTTAATAGCTTTTAATAAACACACAAACACAAGCTTTCATAAGAGAAGCAAGTCAAGAGGCAAAGAGTTGGGTTCTTGTGAATGAACAGTCTTCATCAGAGCTCAGACTCCTTCAGACACAACTTACAGTACAGGTGGTTTCAGAAGGAGCACCACGACATTCAATTAAATACAAATATTACACTGTTTACAACTGCTTAGACAGATCAAATGAATACAACGCGATTCGATTGTTATTTCAGGTTTTAGTCTTACAATATCAAGTAACAATTGCAGTCTAAAGTATTCATGTGTTATAATGTTGGCAAATGAGCACATGCAACATTTTTATAGTGCTGGTCCCATGTCAGAACAGACCACATATTGATTATATATTGATATTTTTAAGGGCATAAAAAATATAGCGATACGTACAGAAATCCCTTTACACTCAAGAAGGAAGAAGTATCAATCTCTTTTATTGCAGGTAAAATAAATTATTCTGCTGTGCGTCAAGTTGTTTGTTCAGTCACAAAAAAAAAAATAGCAGAAGGGGATTTAGTCATGACATTCATCAGGCCATTACAACCATGAAAACGGGCAACATATTCAGTTCATCATAACAAAACATAATTTATTGTTTTTGGTGTTGCAGGAGTATAAATCTAATACATGGTCCTCAGAATAGGGCCTTTAAGTAATACGATTATTTTTTAATGCAATCACATGCTATTACAGTACACTGTGAATTACTGTAAGTGGAAACAGAGCATATCCAAATGGTATACATTGCAGCATGTTATATTTCAAGTATTGAAAAATGTTTCCATGCATGCAGGTGTTATGATGTGTCCACCACCACCATCACAAAACTGCCACTTTAGATGCTTTTAGATATGCTTTTCTTGATATATTGTGTATATAGAGGATTGTAAGCTGTAATTTTGACACTTGAAAAAAGCTATGCCATTATTTCATGTGTATTATATTTTTTTAATGCTTGTTTGATTTGAATATGCAGATTTGGATTTAAATACAACATATAAGCGACATCTATTAAACTGAGTGAAAGAATTACTGCTTTCTGCTAATACTGCTCTTAAAAGTAACTTTAAAAATCCAAGTAAAATCAATAGTTGCTAGTCTCTGTTTTTACTACAATTCCTCCATTACAATCTCCCAAATCTAAACTAATAACCACGTTACTCAGAACACATTTTGTTTGTTTTATTATAAAATGAACCGTTTTTGGCGAGTACTGTATATACAGCATTGTGTTATAGGCACAAGCACAAAATATTCAATGGCGTTCTAATTTTGGCTTTCTGTCATGTTATGTCCTTCTAAATAAAATCGAAATGGCTATTAGTTAAAGGAATGGTAAATACATAGCACCATTTTTGTTGGAAATTAAGAAGAAAAAAAAAACTTTAAAAACTGCCGATCTAACTATGGTGTTTAAGTTACTTCATCTATGAATTCTCAATGCAGCTTCATTAAAAACACTTCCTTTCATTGTCCCTATAATGTAATACATGCACGTTGGTTAAAATACATCAAAACCTTTTTAGCAGTATTTTTGGCCTTATAAGGAAAGACAACTTGACACAGACATACATTATGGCTAATGATGCACTTTTCTGCGACAAACATACACTCTAGGCACTTAATTAGCTAAAAGAAAAAAGCTCTTCAGAGGTTCTTTGTCAACAGAGCAAACATAAAATACTATGTACATACATGTAAAAAGTGTTATAAATAGGTTTTAAACCAAAGATACTATATACACATCTTCAAATGATGACAGTATTGAATATGTCTTTTCGGGGTGGCAGTGGGGTTGATTTTGACTGACCCCCTGGGTGAAGATACTGCGTGATTTCACTTCTCTGTGGATGCAGTGCGATACTTTGGCTTCAAAGCTGTATCTCCAGGTGGCGCCCACAAGAGGGTGGTGCCACCTCACTCTCGTTTTCTCAAGATGACGTAGATTAAGCCGCTTATGAGCACCAGAGGGAAGGCTACCCAGGCCAGGATGTAGGAAAAGCCGTAGGACTCTGTCTCAGGGACCCATTCGGAGTTCATTACCGTATAAATGATAGCTCCACACATAATGAAAAGACCTGGGGGAAGAGGAAGACAAGAAAAATTAAGTGTCTAGAAATGAATTTTTTTTTTATTGATGTTACCTTCTATAATTTTTTATTTTAAAATATATTTCAATCATGACAACTCTCGGAACATTTTAGCATGGTGATGGATATGACAATGTTAATGTATTTGGTCTTGGCGGAACATATCTGCTACGCTGCTTCTGAATTGCTGTAGTTGTAGATTATTGCTGCTGCTGCTGCAAGCAAGTACAGGAACTTGCTACTGCCAATGCATATGGCGATACGGTGCCATGAGTATTTAAGACATACTGCTGCTGCACTAATAGCATATAAAATAACCCCGTAGCAGATCTATACAGGTGGAGCTGGGGAAGGTGGAGGGTTTCAGAGAACTCTGAAAGCGCGCTGCAGGAATCTAAAGTGAATGCTAGCCAGCCATATAAATGCAAGGCAGTAAGCTCATCTATCTATCCTTACAGTCTATTAATATTATTTTTACCATTATAAACATTGTTTTTGAGGTTTTGGGAACTCTTTTGTGGTCAGGATATTCATTTAATATCCAACAATGTGTGCTGTAATTGAGAATGATGTCTTTGCTTACTTGTTTACAACAGTTAATATGTCATTTTAACTGTTACTAATATTTACTAAGTAACATTTACCTAAGCAATGCTGTTTTTGGCCTAGTCTTGACTAGAAGGTATGCATGAGAGGGAGGAAATATGACATGGCACTTTCAGCACTTTTATGTCAGGCAGACTACAGACCACCCCCAGAGTGCCAGTCTTGACATTTCATCTTGTGGCAGCGGCTGTGTATCCGGTGCCAACTCAGTGGGCACCTGTAACTGTCTGGCTGTGTGCTGTTTCCACCCTCTGCTCTCCTCTGACATTTAGCTTTCAATTAATGTCCATCCTCTCTGATGCGAGTCGCAGATATGAACTCTAAAAGCCCTCAGTACGTACTGAAAGATCAAGCATTCGTGGCACCCACAGAACTATTCATTATCCAGGCACGGTAATGATCTCTAATAATACTCCATCTTCATTACATCCCAAAGAGCCGAAAATTTAATTAAACATTTCTAATGAGAGCTATCATTTTACATTAGCTTCAGTTACAGTACAGTAAATGACTGTGAAACGCATCTTTCCGTATCTGATCTCTTACACGTATTGTTTATCATAAATTAAGAGAAACGCTTACTCGTTTTGGTAACCTTGCCTATTTAAAACTCTGCGTGCCACATGGTTTCATTTTAAGAAATCATAACCAAATTATCTGCAGGAAGTGAGTGCATTAAAGGGTTTCATCTGCTGTCTGTGGTTTAATGAGAGTTGACAGGACTCGTAAGACTAACAAGACTAAGGCCAAAGTTTTTTTCATCTAACCGAATTAAAGCAAATACACCTCCATAGGAACCGAGGAGATCAGTAGATGCCCCATAGATAATCTTTTATTAATAAATGGTAATTGATCTCAGATCACCTGAGCCAGCTAGATTAAACACATATGCAAATATAGCAATTTATGGCTCTCCTTCACTTCAACAGTGAACACTTTGGGTCTATTAACACTGCATGAGCATGTCAGCATGTTATGTCAACCTCATTAGCATCTGCAAACAACCGTACTGATCCACTGATGTCCAAATGACGTCAAGATACTTACTAGCAAAGATCTGGAATGCTCCAGTGAGGAAAAAACGTCCACCCTTCTGAAGAGTAAAGAGCTGGCAGAAGAACAGTAAGAGAGACAGGATGCTGAAGATGATTGACAGGATCATGAGGGCTTGGACTGCCTGGATCCAAACTGAAAGACAGAAAGCATTTCAAAACATTAGAGCACTTCCGCACTCCTGAAACCACTTAAGGCAGTTTGAGCTTTGCAGAAGAAAAAAAACCTTTGCTCTTTGGAATGAGACAGTAATTTTAAATGCACACGAATGGAAATTAAACCGGTCATTATTTATTTTCTCATCTGCTATTCCTATTCTCGATCGATCACAACAGATGTACCGGTAGTTGCACTTTTACATTGGCATGCAATTGGAGATGTGCACTTAGATATCTATGTATTATTGATAATGACAGAGGTGAGTCTGCAAAAAAACCAAAACACCAAATATCAGTTCATAATGAACTCTTGTTGTTGCATTTAAAGTTTTGATGGCTGTTTCATCAATATAAAGAACACTGCACAATACATTAAGAGTTCCTGGATTCTCCAATCACATAATGAGGTTTCTGTTCCTAAAAGCTCTTAGCAGGTTACAGCATCTGGTATTGATCCTCTCTTGACGTCCCAGGGCCATAGCACAGCAACTTACAAGGAGCACCATTAACTCTATATTACCTGCATTTGATGGTTTTAAAAGCCCCCGTGTGTCATTTTTATTAGAGCCATTCCACCCTTTCACATGTGTGGACAGGAAAGAACATGTTTTTGCATTAGTATGTTCCTGCATAGCAGGAAACATTTCACTTGCTTTGCACACTGCCGATCAAAAGTTTGAGGATTTTAAGATTAAAAAAATCTTCTTATGCTTTGTATGCTTTAAATCTTCTTCTTAAGTCTCTTATTCTCACCAGGTTGCACTTTTTTGATTAAAAATACAGTAAAAACTGAAATATTTTGAAATATTATTAGAATTTACAATAACTTATAAAACTGAAAGCTCACAAGAACAGCATTCATTTGAAATGAAAAGTATTTTGTATATATTTAATTGAATAAAGATATTAATTTCTTTAAAAAAAAAAAATTTGAAGGTTAGTGTAGATTGATTCTCAAGACAAAACCTTAGGACAATACGTTCTCCCACCAAGAAAGTCAATAGCGTGCTGTGAGGTTTGAGGGAGTTTGGGATTGATGAGGAATGCCATGACAGATGTTTTAGTTTAATGTTTAGCGTGTATTCTGGCTTTGGAATGTCCCATTATGTACAAATTGTTCAGTGTTTCTGTTTTACCATTGTTATCCTCAATAGAGTTTTAAAGGGATACTTCATCTAAAATGCAAATTCTGTTTAAGAGCTGTTTAAAACCTATAGGACTTTTGTCTGAAAATGAAGAATGTTTCAACTGTTTTTGCCCTCAATGGGGTTCAAAACGTTGGGCTACACTCTTAAAAATAACGGGTATTTATTGGCATCTATAGCTCCATGAAGACCCTTTAAAATCCATGGAACCTTCCATTGCACAAAAGGGTCTTAATAGTGGGAAAAGGTTTTTTAGATTAATAAAACATTCTTCACACTAAGAAACACTTAGTTCTTTTAAAACAGTTTGCTAAAATGTTCTTTTGGGAACCCAAAATTACTTTCCCATAGCAAGAGTGTATGGATATGAAACCAGAATTTTTTCAAAAATATATTTTGTTTCCTCAGAAAAAAAGTCATAAAGAATTGATGACATTGAATACAGGCCACACTAACACACAATAAAGTTGTTTACTATAAACGTGTGCTGCAGTCATGTCGTCTGTCCATTTAAATGCTTGAGCTCTTTAAAGCAGAATGGATTCTGATTGACTGTCGATGTTTTTATCGTTTAACAGCTGAAAAAAAATAGTTCTGAAAGTTAAATAACGACAGGATTTGGTGAGCATTTTGCTGTTCTTCTAAATCACACAGTATGAGAACAAGTCATAGCTCTCTTTTTATCTCATTCTCTACCTTTCGTGCCCAAGCAGTAATAAGTGGAATACATGGGTTGTCCAGCATGTCTATTTCTTATCCAAGGGTCATTCCTGTAGCATCAGGTTTCCACCTCTCTCTCTCTTTCCTCTCATGTTCAGCTGTGTCTGCCTCTCCCCTTATAGCCACTAGAACTGTTACATCCCTAAAGCAGATCGGCCTACTACAGATTAAAACTAAATCAGAGCCGCAACTCCAGCCTCCAGAAGAACCAGATCCTCTACTAAAGCCAATTGCAAAATAAGACCATCAATACTGCATTGCTTACATCCAGAAAAAGAATATAGAAACACTCGATCAAGTCCTTGAAAATCTGGACTTCTCAAGATCATACACAAATCGGCTTCTTTGCACTTTTGTGGGGAAGAACTGGCAATGCGAATGATCCAAAATTCTAGCAATGATCTCATTAACAGCAAAACCGTAAAGCTCAGGCACACATGGATAACCCTAAAAGGACAAGAAAACCCCATAAACGTTTTTTTTGTGCTTGTAACTATCTCAGAATGGAAACAACTATGGAAATGGCGTTTGTTTTTCTCAGTACATCTCATCAGAGACCATGTGAGGAGACTATTCTAGTGTGCATCCATAAATACTAGGTTCTGCTGCTGTGTGTTTTGCACCCACACAATACAAATGATACAATGAAGCTCTCTCAACAATTAAGTAAAAATAGAAGCGCGACCCCTAGTACAGTATACTTACTCACTGTTACTAAGTTTAACCTCACTATACTCTCACATGAGGTAAACAGACTTTTCCTTCCTTCAGACTAAGTTGTGACATTTGGAGTTTCCTGATATAAGGTGCGGCTGTACTCATTTTGAGCTTGACAACACCCTATGTATTTCTGTCAGCAGTCATGCATCTAAGGCAGGGACTTGTATTTCAGGACAGAAGTTTCGTTTTGGAAAGCGGAGGCCTTGTGTTTGCATTTAGAGGGGCACGCATGGTCCTGGGTGTGAAGAATGTGGCTTAACAGATGATAAATATGCACTGGCGAAACATAACACAGGGGTGCGAGTTTGTGCGCTAATACTAGACCGCCATAACCCCAGTTTGGTCCATGAAATGGCTCTATATCAGGATGATGAATAGGATTTCAAGCATGCTTTAGCTGCCAGTGTTGAGTAGCTTCGCCATGCCAGCTGTTCCGCATCTCCCACGGTGTAAAATACACCATTCAGGTAATCTTAGGATGGCTTTGCACTTGGTTTGATTGCTTGTTTCCAACCCAGGTTTGATTCAACCCTCTTGATTTGCCCCTAAATTGTTTCGAATTATACTATTAATGCTGAAGCACAGTATGTTTGCCTTACTAGAGATGTGAAGAATGCAAGCTGCTGTCAGATGGCCATTTATTGAGAAATGCATTATGCTATAATGGTTACGTTTTTTAAGGCATTTAATATTAATTTATAAAAATACTGTGATTAGTTCATGCTTTTTTTTCTAATGCAATATACAACTTTAACATAATATTAATAAAGACTGTAAAAATATTGTTCATGCTGACTATTCTGTTACCTAATGATGGCATGTACAACCTTACTGATAAATATCTAAAACATGTGTGAGTCCAAGGTTCTTACTGTAAACATCGTGACTGACATCGTCTATGGTGAACAAATTTGGGTTAGTAAGATTGTTTCGTGAAATATCAGTACAATTTAACATATCGGTTTTCTGTTTTAATATTTTTTTTAAATGCAATTTATTCCTGTGATAGCAAAGCTGAATTTTCAGCAGCAATTCGCAGCAGTCACATGACAATTTCAGCAGTCACATGATCCTTCAGAAATCATTCAGGAAGCTGATTTTTGGTGCTAAAAAACTTTTTTAATTTCTATTATTATCAATGTTAAAAGCAGTTGTGTTGCTTAATATTTTGGTGGAAACTGTGATACAGTATTTTCAGGATTTTTTGATGAACATAACATAAAAAACAGCATTTATTTGAAATAGAAGTCTTTTGTAACAATGTACTGTAAAAGTCTTTAATGTCACTATCAATTCAATCTGTCCTTACAGTAGTGTGCATGAAGGTTCATATTTTAACTGCTGTTGTTTGTGTGGAAGTTAAACGTCATCTACAACATAATTAAAAGAAAAATCTGGTCATTACATGCACCAATGAAAAGACTTTCTTCACAGGCTAGATGACCGTCAAAAATCAACTTAAGAAGTAACTGAAAAACAGCCTTTCTCCAGCAGTGTGGCGGCGACACGTGAGCGAGCGCAGGAGAGCAGGACAGAAAAGCCCTATGTGCCAACCCCCGCACCACGCCCTAAACAAACACGCCACATTACATGCGCTACGCCAACTGACTGAGAGCTATGAAATAACACAGCAAAGCATTCTGGGCCCGCCTCATTACCGAAGTGCACAGAGAGGCGTTTCCCGCTCTGAACTATGACATCATCTCACCCTTCAAGAACAGCCAATAGTGTAACAGTGATATGATTGAGAATGTACAGTACTTAAAAATACACTTTTTTATTTTTTATGCATGAAAGAACACCATTTTTCATTATTGCTTTAATATTCTGGCACACTCTACATGGCAACAATAACTAAAAAATGACAACACAAGTTTGTATTTCAACCAAAAACTTCAACAATAAATTCAAGTATAATTGTTTCTCTCTCAAACTACCTTCATTCTTGTATTAACAAACCCGCTGCTGGCATTTTGATTTGTGGGTGTGATTCAAATCATGCCGTGTTTGGCCTATGGCAATCTGATGCTACGCCATTACAGACAGATCAGTCTAAATCTAATCTGCTTTGAATTCTGTACCTCTGTCCCACCCCATATGTTCTCAATCCTCTTTGCAACCCAGCACTCTCCACTCCCAAACAAGGGGCCCGAGCTCAGCGCCGGCAACCAGACTATTTATACAGAGCTGATGTTGAAGAGGGGTCTGTTGTGGGTTGAAACTGTACACTTGCATTCTCACCCCTAGATGGCAGTTCAGAGGTGTGAGGCAGAGTGGGCACACCCACCACAAAGTGTGGTAAATAGGCAAAGGGGCTTTGACTATGCCAGGATGGAGCCCTCCGTGAATGACCTGCTATGTGTAACATACCGAGGGTGGCTCTTCAACCCAGAGAGGCAGACATTTTCCTCTTTTGAAATTAATATTATTGCACCATTTTTTTTTCATCACACATTCTTAAACAAATCTAAAATTGTAGCAGGATCCTACCTCCAGTGTCAGCAGGGTCACATCTGGACAATCCATTCAATGTGGTGCAGTTTGTCCAGAGGTCTGAACTGCTGTTGGGGTTAACAGCCCATGCCTGTTAGATCCAAGAATACTCATTAGCAGAAGTTAAACACATCCAAAAGATTCTCCTTCAGCTGGTTGTAGTGCCTGATTGGGATTTGAATTTATGAACTACTCCAAATTGATTGCATTTTGTTTGGTTAATTAAAAAAAAAGGTTGGCTATCATATAATTTGTTGTTTTAATATCAGAGATACTGTAGATAGACAGCCAGATAGATAGATAGATAGATAGATAGATAGATCTTTATTAATTTAATAAATGAAGTTTCAGAATAGTTGTACTTACACTGACTATAGTTGACACGAAGAGCAGAACCAGTGCTGCCACATGCACGACGACGATTCCCAGTAAGAGGAGAAGCATGATGTTTCCTTACGGTTCTGTACAAACACCGAAACATGTTTTTTGATCAAATATATCGGACCAATTATTAGTTATAATATTGTTATAATATATTTCCCACTAATGGATTTAGGTTATTATTAAAAAAAAACAATAATTATTTAAATATTAACAAATAATAATAGGCTACTTATTTTGTGTCACTGCACTTGAATATACTATAATAATATAATATAATATAATATAATATAATCAAAATAAGTAACTCAGTAATGTTCAAGCAAAAAAATATATATTTTAACCAGTACGTCAAAAGCTGATTGTTACATGGTACATGTCTTTTAATATGACTTTATTAAAACTTTCTTGATCTCCCAAAAATTGCATTTCAGAACGCAGTTAGTTGACATCATGCACACAATTTTCCACCATCAGTTTTGGCACAAAAGAGTGTTACAACGAAGTTGACCAGGGCAAAAACAGCCTAACGCATATTCTTAAAACTCTATAATAATTAAGCAACGACATGCATGTCCCTCTATAAAGTTAGCCAATATATCATTGTATGGATGAGCCAAAGCATGAAAGTGGCTTTTCTTATCCTAAAGCAAGATTTACTCTCCTCTCTGATCCGCTCTAGACTTTTTAATACTCATAAAGAGGCAACGTACGTTTGTACTGCAATATAAATCCAACTTACTGCGAGCAAAGCGAAAATAAGTCCACACAAATGGATGAAAACGCCGAAATGCAGCCGCGCCACTCGAGTCAAAAGTACTGTGTATTTCCAAAGTCCAGATCCCTGCGACTAGATTAATGTGCTGTATGGAGCAGCAGCTTTAAAGAGTCTCATTATGGAAATGCTACGCCCTTTTTCTGCGGGGCTAGTCTGGCAACGTCAGGGCGCGCCCCTCTGACAGCAACAGACCCAGAGCACAGCACACACTGTGCGTAAGAGCGCAGGAAAACCACCGGGTACTTAGTCATACAAACTCAACCAGAGCTATGTTTGGTTCTCATGGATACCAGCGTAAATGAAAAAAATAAAATAAATACAAATACTAATTGTGCTAGTAGGTTTGTACGCTCTGTTCTTCTTAGAGAGCAGTGGCTGGATCATGTTGGTTATTGAATAAAATAAAATAAAATAATTGTATACATAAATAATAATAATTAACTCGTTTAATAAATTTAAAAAAAGAAGTTTTTTTCGTTTGTTTTTAAAATAGTCTAGTTTTTGCAGATAGATCTAATAAGTCAACTTGATCCATCAAGACAGAGAAGTCATACTTTCTAGCATAACTGTAACACTTTTAACTGGAATAATGTCTTTATCCTTATTACAGTCATGGTTAAACTGCAAACACATGATCATAACAGAATTAGTTTGACTTTGAGCTCTGGATTGTTGAAGGCAATAGAGAAGGCAGTAAAGGAATACTTGCTATCCGATGGCAGTACTGTGTATAATGTTTTCAGATGTGGCTGTTCAGATAAACAGGCACAAATAGTTCTGTGCAATGTTCATTTTCTTTGGTGGTTGCTATGGGAATGAGCAATACAAACTTGTTAAATGGTTACTCTCAGTTCTCCCTGATACCGTCTGTGTGAAAATGAGTATGGCCATTAGCTGGCCTTTGGGAGGCCTCCAGGAATTTGCAGAATTCCTCTACAAGAGATTCCCCTCCCTTCCTCTCTCCCTCTCATCGGTCATCAAATGGGAAGTAATATAATATAATATAATCAAAATAAGTAACTCAGTAATGTTCAAGCAAAAAAATATATATTTTAACCAGTACGTCAAAAGCTGATTGTTACATGGTACATGTCTTTTAATATGACTTTATTAAAACTTTCTTGATCTCCCAAAAATTGCATTTCAGAACGCAGTTAGTTGACATCATGCACACAATTTTCCACCATCAGTTTTGGCACAAAAGAGTGTTACAACGAAGTTGACCAGGGCAAAAACAGCCTAACACATATTCTTAAAACTCTATAATAATTAAGCAACGACATGCATGTCCCTCTATAAAGTTAGCCAATATATCATTGTATGGATGAGCCAAAGCATGAAAGTGGCTTTTCTTATCCTGAAGGCAAGATTTACTCTCCTCTCTGATCCGCTCTAGACTTTTTAATACTCATAAAGAGGCAACGTACGTTTGTACTGCAATATAAATCCAACTTACTGCGAGCAAAGCGAAAATAAGTCCACACAAATGGATGAAAACGCCGAAATGCAGCCGCGCCACTCGAGTCAAAAGTACTGTGTATTTCCAAAGTCCAGATCCCTGCGACTAGATTAATGTGCTGTATGGAGCAGCAGCTTTAAAGAGTCTCATTATGGAAATGCTACGCCCTTTTTCTGCGGGGCTAGTCTGGCAACGTCAGGGCGCGCCCCTCTGACAGCAACAGACCCAGAGCACAGCACACACTGTGCGTAAGAGCGCAGGAAAACCACCGGGTACTTAGTCATACAAACTCAACCAGAGCTATGTTTGGTTCTCATGGATACCAGCGTAAATGAAAAAAATAAAATAAATACAAATACTAATTGTGCTAGTAGGTTTGTACGCTCTGTTCTTCTTAGAGAGCAGTGGCTGGATCATGTTGGTTATTGAATAAAATAAAATAAAATAATTGTATACATAAATAATAATAATTAACTCGTTTAATAAATTTAAAAAAATAAGTTTTTTTCGTTTGTTTTTAAAATAGTCTAGTTTTTGCAGATAGATCTAATAAGTCAACTTGATCCATCAAGACAGAGAAGTCATACTTTCTAGCATAACTGTAACACTTTTAACTGGAATAATGTCTTTATCCTTATTACAGTCATGGTTAAACTGCAAACACATGATCATAACAGAATTAGTTTGACTTTGAGCTCTGGATTGTTGAAGGCAATAGAGAAGGCAGTAAAGGAATACTTGCTATCCGATGGCAGTACTGTGTATAATGTTTTCAGATGTGGCTGTTCAGATAAACACGCACAAATAGTTCTGTGCAATGTTCATTTTCTTTGGTGGTTGCTATGGGAATGAGCAATACAAACTTGTTAAATGGTTACTCTCAGTTCTCCCTGATACCGTCTGTGTGAAAATGAGTATGGCCATTAGCTGGCCTTTGGGAGGCCTCCAGGAATTTGCAGAATTCCTCTATAAGAGATTCCCATCCCGTCCTCTCTCCCTCTCATCAGTCATCAAAAGGAAAGTCAATAAAACGAGGGAGGGCAGAGATAGACTGAAAGAGTGTTGAGTGTTCTTTCTGATATGACAGATAGTTCATGGAGTGTTCAGATAATCAGGAAACAATGGACACCTGTGAATATTCAATTCATTTAAATTTTTTTGGTGGTGATTTTGGACTCACCACCACTCAAAACTAATATAGAATTTTTTGTTTCCACTGCTTTGTCAGTTTTAGATGAACACATGATCTGTGGCTCCTACTACAGTCTTATCAGCAGTCAATTGTGTTGTCCGAGGCTCTTTGTGATGTTGATTACATTCGTATGCTGTCACTACCTCTGCTGGTTTACATACTATTTAACTAGAGTTTACATGCTATTTTAATATCGACATGCAGTGGAAAACATTTAGTGTTCTTGAGGGGTTTATATAGCCATATATATATATATATATATATATATATATATATATATATATATATATATATATATAGTTTCTTTATTGACATGGCATTTCTCAACTTTCTTCATCAGTTAAAGTTTTTATTTTATTTTTATTTTTTAATTTTTTTTACTGCAGTGTGTTGTGTTTAACCATAAAACTAAATGCATGGAATTAAATGAGTAATTTTACAAATAAGGACATTTTGATCAAATACCATTAGCCTGAGTATGACAGCCCACTTATTTAATTGAATGGCCTCCCTTCTGTTTGTCTGCCTGTCCTTGCCAAGTTTCTGCAATATTAGAGCAGACACACTTTGGAGATGTACTTCCATTATGTGATCGGCACTTTTTTTTTTTTAAACCAGACGCATTGTTCTCGCTTATCACTTGACTTAAGCAAGGAGCAATAATTCCTGGTACTATAGAATGTTCTGGCATTCCAGTTACACAAACTAGAGATAACATGGGGAATGCAAGCATGACATGTGTGTAAATAGGGCCTTGTGTCCTCCATTATATTTGACTTTCCTTTGCTCAGTCAGAGACGACAGCTGTGATTGTAACTGTAGCGTTCAACACTTTCAGGGCATTTATGAATCTGGTCATTGGCACTACATCTATAAAAATATATGCACTTTCTGTAAATAAATAAATACATTTCTTTATGGAAATGTACTGCAAGCTGCAACAATATTTAACATGGAATGCCTAACTTTCTCAGATTTGTTATTTCTTTATTGACATGGCATTTCTCAACTTTCTTCATCAGTTAAAGTTTTTATTTTATTTTATTTATTTTATTTTTTTTACTGCAGTGTGTTGTGTTTAACCATAAAACTAAATGCATGGAATTAAATGAGTAATTATACAAATAAGGACATTTTGATCAAATACCATTAGCCTGAGTATGGCAGCCCACTTATTTAATTTAATGGCCTCCCTTCTGTTTGTCTGCCTGTCCTTGCCAAGTTTCTGTAATATTAGAGCAGACACACTTTGGAGATGTACTTCCATTATGTGAACAATACTGCATCCATTTAAAATGCTGAGTTGTGTTGGAATTCACCCATAATGGACATTTTCCCTTGAAAGTTTCAATCACTAAAAATGCAGGATTTGCACTGATATATGCCATAAGTGCATATATCAGTGGGAGAGTAACAGGTACTGGATCTTTTAGTAGTTTTTCCAGGTATCATGGCAATCCCAAATATGCTAATGTTTTTAGAAGTCTACACACAAAAACCCACACACCACCTGACCAGGCTCTAATGTTACACTCTACAGCTAGGTGACATTTTATTGATTTGACAATAACATTTCAAAATATGACTATGTTTTTCTTCCCCAGTACTCATCATAACTGGTCAAACCCTTATTTTCCAAATAATCAAAGTGTCTCTTCTTTTCTTTTCCAAGTTTTCTCTCCTCTTGTCAATGCACCATTTAGTGACTTCAACCAAACACCCATTATAGATTTGACCAAAAACAAGCATTTTGTAAGAACCCACAGCGTATTCCTAATCTCTAGGGAAAACAAAACCGTTAAATGACAGGGTTACCACACAATGCCTATATATTGTGTGACGCCTTCAGACATATATATTTGTCAGTCGAGGGGCTTGTTATCACAATAAAATAGCAGGAAGCTCATCAGGTTTATCAACTTTACACCCTGACTGAATTTTGTTGTCAGACTTTAGAAGGTCTACCAGGGAATGAACATCATGAGCAGAAAGAAACCAAAAAATTAAAGGTTCCAAAAGGGATTTTTCGCAGTGATGCAATAGAAGATCCATTTGGAATCTTTCAGTGAACATTTTTTTAAATTGTGAAGTGTGACACTTTTTAAAGTGTGAAGAACATTTTAATAATCTTATTCCACTGAGAAGAACCTTTTGTGAAATGGAAAGCTTCCATGGATGTTAAAGGGGTCATGTGATGCTTTTTTTAAAAGATCATTATTTTGTGTATTTGGTGTAACAGAATGTGTTGACATGCTTTAATGTTCAAAAAACACATTCTTTTTAAAATACCGTACATTATTAGAGGGTGGGATATTCCCACATAGTGAGGTAGATATGTGGGGGCGTGTTAGAACGAGCTGTTTTAGGGGGCGTGGCAGAGTCTTAACTTTGATAAAGAATATCTCTTTGGTTTTGAGACTTTAGTCTTTGCAACTTCAGGGATCTTATCTATGCACAATCAGCTTGTAACACTTCAAAGAGAAAGGAAAACTTGAAATCGCATCATATGACCACTTTAAAGGTTCTTCATGAAAACATCAATGCCAATAAAGAACCTCATAAAGAAAGTGTGCCTACAGTTAAACCGGTTAAAAAGCAGACTGTCTGTGGGAATAAAAACAACCAACCCCTTTTATGACTCGAGAGATGAGAGTAAATAAAGGTCTTTCAAGGACTGCACAGATGTTTGGTTACTATTATATTCATTCAGACCTGTCATCATGTTTTCATTATGAGTGCTAAGCTCACACATACAGCACCTAGACGGCATACAATATCATACACACACCCGATGCAAGCTTATAGACTTATAGTCATGTATTTGTTGATCTGGCCTCTCAATCTCACTTCCCCTCACCATTCTGGTTGTATCGTATTTTTTTGGGATATTGGTCTGAATGCATTATTTTTTTATATGTGATACTTTTGATAATTCATTTTATTCTAATTTTAGATTGCCTTTTCAAGAACTTGTCAGGGATAAAGGATGAAAATTGGGGACTCTGTTGATTAATGCACAATTTCCATGTCAAATAATATTAAATAAAGCTAAATGCAGCAACAATAATACTTTTATTAATGAAAATTAAAAATTGATTTTAATTTAGTCATGAAATTGGGATGGAAAATACATTTTTGCTTTTGAGTTTTTATATTAATACCAGTTTTTTTAGGTGACATTTTATTGATTTGACAATAACATTTCAAAATATGACTATGTTTTTCTTCCCCAGTACTCATCATAACTGGTCAAACCCTTATTTTCCAAATAATCAAAGTGTCTCTTCTTTTCTTTTCTTTTCCAAGTTTTCTCTCCTCTTGTCAATGCACCATTTAGTGACTTCAACCAAACACCCATTATAGATTTGACCAAAAACAAGCATTTTGTAAGAACCCACAGGGTATTCCTAATCTGCAGGGAAAACAAACCCGTTAAATGACAGGGTTACCACACAATGCCTATATATTGTGTGACGCCTTCAGACAGATATATTTGTCAGTCGAGGGGCTTGTTATCACAATAAAATAGCAGGAAGCTCATCAGGTTTATCAACTTTACACCCTGACTGAATTTTGTGGAAGAATGCGTCAGACTTTAGAAGGTCTACCAGGGAATGAACATCATGAGCAGAAAGAAACCAAAAAATTAAAGGTTCCAAAAGGGATTTTTCGCAGTGATGCAATAGAAGATCCATTTGGAATCTTTCAGTGAACATTTTTTTAAATTGTGAAGTGTGACACTTTTTAAAGTGTGAAGAACATTTTAATAATCTTATTCCACTGAGAAGAACCTTTTGTGAAATGGAAAGCTTCCATGGATGTTAAAGGGGTCATGTGATGCTTTTTTTAAAAGATCATTATTTTGTGTATGTTAATGAATGAAAACAATTTTTAAAATAATTTCTAAAATAAGTCTAAATGCATTGAGCTGTGGTGCTCATGTGGTCGACAAAAGTTCAAGGTTATTCTCTTCTCTAACTTCAAATAAAAGTGACAAAATATTTTAAATGAACTCAAACATTTCTTTATTTTTAAATATTTGGTGGACTAATTTTTCTTCAGCTATACCAAACCCACATAAAGCATTAATATTAAATAGGATACTCAAATCCCTGTATAATGTTACGTCTCTACAGAGAGATGTGAAAATCTAATGAGAGAACTCTAATCAGAAAAGCATTGGCTGGCTGGTTTGAAGTTAAAAATAAAGCCTGAATATGTCAAGACTGTAGTGAAGATTCCAGAGTACATTCTCTGAGGACAGGGTTAAGAGGAGAGGGCTAAGGCCAGTTATTTCTGTGTCCACTGAATCATGTATTTCACTGAGGACAGAAAAGCATGCATGTTCCCAGCTGAAGTTTGTGATGTATGTAGTCTTGACATAGATGTAAAGACGAAGAGTAAAGGAGAGAGTGTGTGGAATCAGAGAACCTCTCCTCTGTCAGTAACTCTAATTATGTAATGCTGAGATATGTTAAAAGCTCAGTAATGTGAAATACACAATGGTAGAGGCTGTTTCAGAATGAGTGGGCACTGGATTGCTTTCTGGAATGGAGAGAAGGGAGGATAGATATGTCAGAGGAGAGATAATTGGGAATGAAAACCTCCTCGTCCTTAAGGTCATAAATATTTTCTACTCAAAACTACATTTGCTCCATTACTAATTGATTGAGAATTGAGAACATGTTTGCAAAGACAAAACTAAAAATTTTAGCTGATAATATATATATCTCTATTTGCTTTGACAAGTAAAATAGTTCCTAACGAGTCACCGTAGAACCATTACGTGTCTCCAAACAATACACACTTTCTTTTTAATAGGACGTTTTCAGTCCATTTTGCTCAACATTACTCTAAAACGGCTCCATTGTCTAGTGGAGTTCCACAAGGATCCATTCTTGGCCCAGTCTTGTTTTCATTATATATGTTACCCTTAAGTTCTATATTTCATAAGCATGGAGTACCTTTTCATTGCTACGCAGATGACACTTAGGTGTATCTACCTTTGCAGAAACAGGATAAACGTTTTTGAGTTGTTTACATGAAGTTAAATCTTGGATGTCACAAAACTATCTGAATTTGAATGAAAGCAAAACTGAAATAATCTGGTTCGGGGATCCTGACACCCAAAACTCTTTTGATTTGGGCAATTTAGCTCCCTTCTGTAAATCTGTGGTGAAGAACCTTGGTGTCCAATTTGATAGTTCTTTGAAATTTGATAAACAGATCAACTCCGTGGTCAAATCTTGTTTCTTCTATTTAAGGTCAATAGCAAAGGTTAAACCGTTTCTGTCCTCCAGTGATTTTGAAAGGATTATTCATGCTTTTATTTCTGTAAAACTGGATTACTGTAACTCACTGTATGTGGATTTTAGCCAAGTATTGTTAAATCGTCTTCAATTGGTTCAAAATGCGGCTGCTAAGAGGTACTCGTAAAAAAACAGCATGTAACACAGATTTTAGCGTCATTTCAGTGGTTGCCAGTGCAGTACAGAATTGATTTTAAACTATTGATTGTTGTATATAACGCATTGCATAATTTGGCCCCACCATATTTAGTGGATCTTGTTCGTATATACAAACCACCCAGGTCTCTCAGATCAGCAAATCAAATGATCCTAGACATTCCAAGGACTAGACTGAAATTGAGCGGTGAATAAGTTACCCCTACATCTCAGACTGGCTCTGTCATTAGGTTATTGTAAACAAAAATTGAAAGTGCATTTACTTGAATTAGTGTTTGGTTCTGCAGACTAATTAGCAAGAGGCTTTTTAATAACATTTGTTGTTGTTGGTCATTGTTTGTCTGAAAGTTAATACTGTGTCATTTTTATTTAGAGATTGTACAGCACATTGGTCAACGTTACGTTGTTTTAATTGTGCTTTATAAATAAATAAACAAAAAAACACTTGCCTTCCTAAATTAATTAGTCTTTTTAAATGATTCAGTTAAGTGAATAAAACTCAACAGCTCACAAGTCTGTTTTGTTCTTGAATGAATCAGTGTTTTTGAACTATTTGCTTGAGTGAATGACTAAATGCTTCATTAAACAGTCCCTTTCGTCTTTGAAAATAAATCAGCGTCTTTGAACAAATTGCTTCAGTGATTGATTTAATGACTCACTCATAATACAGTCATTAGTCGCCACCTATTGGTGTCTCAATGTAACTTGCAGAAATGTCCCACTACTGTTTGATATCAGTGATCCTGCTCAGCTAATCAGCTTTGATGACCAGAACTAACCATTATACAATTCAACACAACGTTATATTATGTTGATTCACAAACAAATGACACTTATGAACCAGTTATTTTTAATAATTGTCAAAAAGACCTACAATACAGACAGTCATGTGATTGCTTAAAGAAGTACAGAATCAGAATCATGATGAGTGGGATTTGAATTGAATTCAGAGTCATGAAGAGTCACTTTAGCCACAGATTGACTTTGAATGGCTGAAAGTCACACTCACACACACACACACTCCCGTGGTATTTTTATTGACCTGGGTGGCTTTCAAGATTGTAAACTGTGTGGAAAGTGAAACATTGCACCATTTCACCAGTGCCCAGCTGTGTTTGGACCACACTGAGATTCAATTAATATAACTGTTACATGAATATAACTACACTGTACTGTTGGCAGATATCATGGTCTAAAGTGGTGGTCTGTGTGTAAAACTCAATGAGAAGAAAACCGTGGGATCCAACTTAAATTTCAGGCACAGCTGGCCACCGGATGAGTCTCATGGGCTGGCAGGGCCCACTCAGATGTTAAAGTAAGGTGGTGAATGAAGCCAAGATTACAGTGAAAACTGGTCAGCAGGTTTTAAGACCTTCTCATAACTCTGCATGAAGAGTTCTACAGATCCTGAAATGCAAATATTATCTGTAAGCAAATGGCCAATCCCTCCAGTAGTAAATCACATACATTATAAGGCCTCCAGAATCTCCTTTTTATGTCAACATCCGATTAAACAGAGTCATATTTGTCTTAAGCAACACATTCCTGCAATATTTCAAAGGTCAGGGTTGGGTATCTGGAATGAAGCTCTCAAGTACTATACTCAGACATGCTGAAATCAATACTGCTCCTGTCTGACTAGCAAACATCTGAGATTCTGAGGACCACTGTGTACTCGAGATAGGCAGGAAGCCATAATAAGAAACCTGAAAAGAAAAGAGAACGGGGACTGCAATATTTACTTGGTGCATTACTTTCCTTGACAACACACATGACAAGTGAACAGTCACTGAACAGGAGAACTGATGTGGTGTGTGTTGGCTGTTATTTGGAAACCATAAGCTAAAACAGTGTTCCTGAGCAAGGCATCTGCACAGGGTTACTCAAGAGAGCTGTTGCTGTCTGTCAGTTACTTTGGAATGACTCAAGTGCAACCTACACTACTGTTCAAACGTTTTAGTATATTTTTTTAAAGTGTAATATATTTCTGATGCAAAGGGGCTAAATTATGCTTCTCAGTTTTACCAGACTGCACTCAAAAGTCAGAGATCTCAATATTCAAACAAAATTATAACATTTCAAGTCAAATTCAATGTACACATAATCTGAGCTATGCTATCCATTAACTGTTTTAGATTATTTTTTAACTGTTTTCCATCAACTGTGTAAATATGTATACTCTTTCTGTATTACAGCAATTGTCTCATTTGTGCTTATTTTTGCAGTATATTTCCTAATTTTAGGCAAAAAATCTGAGATCAAATAAATCATGTCTTCTGAGATATGAAAGAGCAAAAATATTTCCTCTATGTACATTTACATTAGCATGTTGTCAGAAAGCACACAACTCATTGTTCTTACGGATGCACCAACATAGTCTCAAGTGCATCTTGTATTGTTATGCATTCAGACGACAGAGCAGATTTTGATTTATGTAAAGAGTTTGAAGTGTGTTTGAGCAGAACACCAGTGCGTTGTTTATAGGAGCAAACACGTTCCCCCTCTGAATCAATAAACCCAGATGCTGTGTGTATACTTAACCCTGAGTCTGCTTGCCTGTGGCATCTGTTTCTGAAGTGTGTGTTTGTACTTCAGAAGAACATGAGAACTACAGCTCCACTGTGCTTTGGTGTACTCAGGGAAGTGTGTAGTGAAGATCACTTTATCAGTGACAGCCCTCAAGTGGACCTCTGAGCTAAACAAACAAAAGCAAGGTGTTCTGTCCACTGTCTGCAAACTGTCAGAATCATGTCACACCTGAGCAGAAAACAAGCACACAAATGTAAGATTTACAGGATTTAGGAATTAGAAGATTTTTTCCTTGACAGAGAGATGGATGGATGGATGGATGGATGGATGGATAGATAGATAGATAGATAGATAGATAGATAGATAGATAGATAGATAGATAGATAGATAGATAGATCATTAACCTGTTTATAATCAACCTGAGTTATGAGTTATCTTCATTTGGTCAATCATTTTTTAAAGGAATCAGTTTAATTTTTTATTGTAAATATTATAATAATGACTGATTCATGCTAATAAAGTTACTTCACCAGTTTTTCTATTTTCTAGCAGCTAAGAGATTATTGATTTTTTAATCTGAACAGTCAAAGGTGACGAGACAATCAATTCTAATCATTACAGTGTGCTTAACCTATCAGACAGAGGTGAGTGAGGTGTACAATATCAGTCCGCTTAAGAGGACTAAGAAGAAACTGTCAAGCTGTTCTGATGCTAATCTTGTAGTTTATCTTCTTAACATGAGCATTTGAATTTAGATTAATGGTTAAGCAGCTTCTGGAGGAGGGTCTGGAAGATTTAGGTGTATCCGACTAGACGAGGAGTGCTGGGAAAGCTCTTCCTCATGCCCATGCATTTCTCCTGATCCAGGAACAGAGAGTTGGCTTTTATTGACAGGTCATGCTCCAGAGTAACTTTGGTCTTCACCAGGGTCTGGAGAGTGTTTTCAGCCTCCCTCAATCTCTCTCTCAGCTTATGAATGGTGTCTTCAATCTCCCTCACCTCTGTAACCAACCTGAGAAAGAGAGGGCGAAAGACAAGGAGGTTTGGCATCTGAGTTTTGCATCTAGATCTAATTTTAAAAAAGCAAAACATTGTATCCAAACTGTTTCTTGGCAAATATCGACATTTATTGATATATAGGGCAATTACCTGTGATGAGGATTGTCTCTGCAGAGTTCGACGTTGGGTCTGCGAGACCTCTCTTCCAGACGGGTCTGGGCCACTTTAAGTGGGTTCTCTTTGTCTCGGATTGCCTTTTTTAAAGCTCCAATCAGCGTCTCAGTCTGGAAGATTTCCTGAAGGGTCTGAAAGTGGAAGGAAGAAGGTAAGAAAGAGAAAGAGAGTTGATTTTAAGAGACAAAGTCACTTATTCTCTGTGTCTGACTTCTCGGCCCTTCTCAAAGTTAAAAAGGTCCAGTCAGGTACTCTTATTTCTTCTGTATATATCATAACTGACAGCCTAAAGCACTTTAATCTTAAATTAGGCTGGTATGGTTCTATTCTGGGCACAATTCCCACCCATCCACACAACCATGCCAGGACAGAGTGGGGATTGAAAAATCAAACCCCTCAGGGTAAACAGAGCAAATTCAGCAAATTATTTTATTTTATTTTTATTATGATTTCATATTTTTTGCATAGAATACATTTGTGGATTACTTGACAAAATTGCATTAAACTGATTGATGTGTCGGGGATCTGAAAGGGCTTTATAGTTCTCGTTACAGCCCATATCCATCTAAATGCAAAATGGTCATAAAAATATTTAGGATCAGGTCTAGTTACAGAGACACACACTCCCTCACAAACACGATTTGATGTATTCTCATTTTGACCAATCAGCTTCATGAATGACGATTCTTTATTGGTTACCTCATGCCTCTGATAACAGCCGTCAAAGGGCTTAAACATTATGGACAGCTGACAGAGCTTCTTCATGCTCTCCATTAACCTCCTCAACAACAGACTCCAGTGTTTAGAGGTTCTCATCTACATCTTTAGGGCATAAACAAGCAGCCAATTTATTTTGGGTCCTGTCCAGTCAAAGTGAAGCAGCAAGGAATGAGTAGGATAGATCCCATTATTACTAAACATCAGGTGAAGAATGAGTGATTAAAAGTAATGACGTGATGTTCAGCATCTTGTGGTTACCTTGGCCAGGTGGGCTTGCAGATTGTTCTTGGTGTCTGCCATCTCAGAGATGCGGTTGGTAAAGGACACATTTACAGAGTTAAACTGGTTCCACATCTCATTTGAAGTGGCGTTGAGCAGAAACTCAATCTCATCACGGAGTTTGTGAGAGGCGGCGCGTTCGCTCTGAGAATGCAGGATGTTGTCGTCAGTGAACTTCGACCAGGAGTCTGGAAGACTGATACTGTTGAGACCATTAAGAGAGTAAATTATAACATGATTAGGATGCAAATCCTGACCTTAAAGGGGTCATAGGATGCCCATTTTCCACAAGTTGATATGATTCTTTGGGGTCTTAATGAAAAGTCTGTAACATAGTTTGGTTAAAAATTTCTCAATGGTAGTGTAAAAAAACAATTTTTTTTACACCGTCAAAAACAGCTATTTTCAGATCAAGCCGTTTTTGTAGCATTTTACTTTAAATGTTAATGAGCTCTGCTGACCCCGCCCCTCTCTTCCGAGCCGCTCTCTGAGAGACTGTTTACTTTAGCCACATTCATTGTGAAACTTGCTAATTAGCACATTATTAGGAAAGGCGATTTGCAAAGATTCATTACAAAACATTATACTAATTTTTCTGTAGATGAGTCTGGATCATGAATGATTCGCATTTATGTAGATCGGGTGCGCATTCCCTTCAGAAACAATGTAATCCACTGCGAGTTCAGCGGCTCAGATGTTGGGAGTAAATGACGGCTGCTGTTCATTATTACATCCAACAACAGAACATCTCAGCCACTTAGAAGTCATTCTTGTCTACATCTGCTCCAGCGGTGAAACAATGGTGGACTGATGACAGTCACTCAGGGTGGGTCTGAGGTAAGACACCAGTCCAGTCTGTGCTGAAACGCTACTGTCAATTAAACTATCGTGGGCATCTGAGATCGGCTCGATTTGAGAAAGGGGAAAACATTTAACCAGATTTAAAAAAAAACACTGGGTGGATTTTTATCATTATAGGGTGGTTGTGTACACACACTGCCAACACACATTTCAGTTCAAACAACTTGTAAAAGTGCATGTAGCATCCTATGACCCCTTTAACATATCCTGAAAACAGAACTGTCTTTTTTAAAGTAAAACTCACGACGGGTCCAGGCGATCAATCCCTCTATAGTAGCTGATTCCATCAGAGGTGTTCCTGAGATGGTGACACCTATCATCAATTCTCTGTGCTGTGACCTTGTCACTCAAATCTCTCTCCAACTCATGTTGTGCTGCACGATTCGACCTGAGGATATTAATGAACATAACCACATGCACTGTTTCAAATATGTCTTTCTCATTTGTCAAACTTCAAATATATTATTTTAAATGGACCATATGAATGCAAAGTTGTATTTTTGGATTATTTTAAACATTTTTTATAATTTTTTCTTTCTGCAAGACTCACGCTAGTTGAGCAATAGCTCGGTCTAAATGCCGCCTCATTCTCTCCTGACATGACTTAATCACTTCCACTTCCTGCAAAAAAGGCAAAATTTACTTTTGCAAATATAGAAATGATAACTACTTAGCATTTTTTTATGTGATAAGAATTTTATAGGAGTTCAAGGAATAATTAATAAGTGAGACATGAAACTATCAAAGCTTACTAAATCAGTTACCTAGGGCAGGCTACTTTATACAATTATATGACATTTTTGACCTCAGAATGCCACAATTGACCAATCAGCATCAAGTATTCCAGAGAGCCATGTATTAAATTCAATGTAATCAAAAGGAAAGCACAATGCTTAAGAAAGCCCCTTCGCAAAATCATTGAGTCGCTCATATTACTAATACTTGAGCTTGTTGTTTAATTGCAGGTGTTATGTGTGTAGATGAAGGCTCAGGTGACCTCACCTTAATCAAATCTTTCTCTACATCATCATGAACCAGATCAATGGACATCCGTTTCTCCCTGTGGAACAAACATTCCTGAGAAACCTAGAAAGAGAAAAGAGTGAGAATATTTATATAGATTATACAATATCTATTTTATTTTTATATTATTTATATATATATATTTATAATTATTTAATTGTATATATTTTTAAATGTATTTTATTTAATTTCATTTCATTATTTTATTTTAGAGTGTTCAGAACGGATACAACTATGGCTGCAAAGTAATAATAACTGATGACAGGGCATCACACAGGATTACACGTCCTCACTCAAAATGTGACAATGGAAGCTCTAGTAAGCTATTACATCACTATGGAAACGTCTTCGTCTTGTGATCATTCTCGTGGTCATTCCTGTGAGGTGACAGCAGTGTCACTATACTATTTTGGAACTCATTCAGCACACTATTAGTCAGCATGTTTGAGTGTGGTTTCTATGGAAACCATCTCTTACTGTGACTCAGACGGGTAACTCTGTAAAGACAGAGGTGGGACACATTGAGGTCATTGTAGATCTAGTGTGCTTTGTGCTCAGTGTGATTGAGTGTGTATATCTTACACCCCACTAGGTTCTGTTACCAAGTGGTTTCTAACAATGGGTCACCTGACACTCTACTGTGGGCTTTTCTGGTTACTGGGTCTTTAGCGAGATCATCGTGACCCTAATTAGGTGTGGAGCTTATAAAAGACCACTAGAGCTGTGCCATGATAGCATTCCAAGCATGGATGGAATATTTTTTTACAGTAGTAAAAACAAGAAATTACCTTTAAATCTGTTTAGATAGGTGAAATGTGCAAGTGTGATGTTAGTTCTTTGTTGCCAAAAAATGTTACATGCATTAAAAATCATGTTTTTTTGTTTATGTTAACTTGGTTAGAGGAATAGTTCATCCAAAAGTGAAAATTCTGTCATTAATAATTAACCCATAAGACCTTCGTTCATCTTCGGAATAACAAATGAAGATATTTTTGATGAAATCCGAGAGCTTTCTGACCTTGCATAGACAGCAAGGGAACTACCACGTTCAAGGCCCAGAAACGTAGTAAGGACATTATTAAAATAGTCCATGTGACATCAGTGGTTCAATCTTAATTTTTTATTTTTTTTTAACAATGTCCTTACTATGTTTCTGGGTCTTGAACGTGGTAGTTCCCTTGCTTTCTATGGAGGGTCAGAAAGCTCTTGGATTTCATCACAAATGAAGGTCTTATGGGTTTGGAACGACATGAGGGCGAGTAATTAATGACAGAATTTTCATTTTTGGGTGAACTGTCCCTTTAAGTTTTTTAAGGCGTTTCAATTTATGTTGTTGAAGTAGTCCCTTGAATTTTCTTCCTGCTTTTTTTAATGACTTTTAAATATATAATAAATATAATTTTAGTTAGTTTTTATTTTTAACTTATTTATTATAAATACAAAATGTTTTTAATTAGTTAAAAAATTATATTATGTTTTATTTATAATATATGTATTATTTATATAATGATTCACATATAATTATATTACCTGCAGTGGCCCTTCGGTCTCAGCGAGTGCTCTTTCCAGCCTTCTTTTCACATCCGTCAGCACTGATATCTCTGTCACCATGTTGTCTATCTCATGATTGAGCTCTGATCTCCAGAAGCTGATGTCGTTTAGTCTTTCTCCAATGTTCTTGCTGGTGGTGTCCTGAGTTCTACGGGTTATCTGGTCCTTATCCTGGATCATTCGGATCGTGTCCCTCCGAAGCCTTTCGGCACTGTTCCGAGAGGACTCTGACTCCCTGTAGTTACTCTGGTTGGAATGGTACCAGTCCTCGGGCATGTAGCGTGTACTGAGAGCTGTCCTGTTAGAGGGGTAGAACATGGTCTTGGCCCGGACTAAGTCCAGGTTTTCTCTTTGAAGGGCTGATACAGTCGGGATAGCGCTGCCACTTCTAAAGTATGAATTAGTCCTCCAGGGCATGTTTGAATTCTGGTTGAGGGTCAAGGCTGGCTGGTGGCTCCTATAACTGGATGCCATGGTGGATATGGCGGGCAGGAAGTGGCTGGTTTTGGGCCGAGTGTAAGTGGCCATCTGGGTGGATCCAGTTAGCTCCATGTGTCAATTAATTAGCCACCTTTTTCCTGGAAAATACAACAGTGTGTTTTGGAATGTGTACAGTCACTTGTGGTTAATAACTGCCTGGGCTGCATGTGTGTGTGTTTTCAGACATAGAAACACTGGCATTGGGCCCTAATATCAGTGTGTGTGTGTTTTCAGACATAGAAACACTGGCATTGGGCCCTAATATCAGTGTGTGTGTGTTTTCAGACATAGAAACACTGGCATTGGGCCCTAATATCAGACTGTATTAAATAGTTGAAAATGTAAAAGACGGCAATGTATTAATATATTAAATTGTTTCTTTTTTTATGTTCACTGAAGTAAAAAATTGCCCCAGTCACAATACACAAAACACATAATGAAAAATAAATATAGATAATAAAGTAATTTAACTTAACTATTTGAATGTGCAATCTGTTAAGCTTTATATAGTTATTTGTTAATGTTATAAATTAAGTTATCATAGCTTGTTACTTATAAGTTATTGGAAAGCTTTTAGCACAGTGTTACTGACCTATTAAATAACACTTAGAAGAAGAAGAAACACTTTAAAGCTTGCTCATTTGACATATAATTTAGCTGTTATTTACGTAAGAATCAAAAGTGACAGTATGAAAAATTGGTCTAATTGCAAGTCGCTTTGAATAACATGAAGACGTGTAAGCGCAAACGAAATATCTGAACATAATACAGTATTATTTGCATTGCAATGTTTTATCTTGTCCAAATGCTTTAATGAAAACTCAAACTGACTAAATAAATTGAGCAAGATAATCTGTAAAAATCTTTATGTAATAGCTTATATGATAGATTCATTTAGGTGTTGTAAACTCACCGTGTGTCTGAATCTCGTCTGCCACTCTGATGAAGTGCTCGCGCACATGTACAGTCTGTGCACCGCTGACAGGTGTATGCGCACACCTGTGTGCAGAACAGTGGAGACCTTTGCGCATGAGCGAGAGATCTCGAACACTACTGCTGTGCATTATTGATAGATAAGCCCTTCAGCAGTGATCACTTCCGTAAGAGCTCAATCGAAAGCACAGTTATCCAACACTACTTCTGGTTTAGAGGCAGGTAACCAATGACAACCAAACACATGGATGGATAGACAGGGCAAGTCTATATAAATAAACAATAAACATAAACAATCTTAAACATACCATTAATACGCACACACGCACACACACACACACACACACACATGCACACACACACACACCATGTATATATATATATAATGTATTTATTTTTAAATAAAAGTTGATGGATGAATGTATGTATATATTTATCTGGGTTCAATGATCTATCTATATACAGTTTATCTCTTGAACACAAACTATTCTCTCTTCATGCTTTTCTGGGCACTCAGACCCCCTGATGAGTTAATGTACAAGTCTCTAAACCATTGAGTATACATGAACTAGCAGTTCAGCAGGGTCAAAGTGATCAGCCGTGATGAACTGGGACAAAGGGTCATTCTAACCCTCTGATGGACAGGATCATTTGGCATACTTTCATGCCATTTTGTGCCAAGCATGCTACGAAAAGTACAAACTCGTATGCATTTTGTTTTTAAATGTATCAATAAGATTTATATTCATTCATAAACTGTGTTTTTCATTTGCAACTGTAAATATTAGTACATATAAGAACAATCATTCTCAACTCTGCATTCACTCTGGGCCGGTCTGAGAGAATCTCTGTGTATCTGGTCTAATGTTTCAGAAGTGATGACACATAAAAGCTGAGACTTTCAGTGCTGCTTTTACTCGTGTCTCAAATGACCATCAAACAGAATGTGCTTGGCATAATGACACCTGGATACTGTGTATGTGCAGAAAAAATAGTATTTTATTTGTGTTTATACTAGGAAACACGGCACATTTAATATTTCACAGATGAAATGGGCTCAAGTTCTTGCAGCAGGGGTGTGGCACATCTGGACAGGAAACACAGCTGGAAGCATGAATGTAAATGTTGAGTGCAAAGGGAGAACCACCTCTGCTGACAGCTGTTCTGTATAGACTGATGTTTTGTCCTGTCTAGAGGATAGAAAATAGCATTAATGGTATTCCAACTAAAGCGTCCAGCTGGACTGAAGCAGGAATTTCACAGTATAAAGCACACACTCTCGATAAACTCAGTACGGCATATGCACATTAAAAATGTTTTGTCAGTTAAATAAAACATATACATAATCTGTTTTATAAAAGTATATCATCATTAACACTATGTACAAATCTGTAATTAAAAAATACTTTTTAAAAAAATGTAATTGAGATAAAATTAAACTGTCATTATATTATAAACAAGAAATACAAATGTTTTAAATTGATTTTTTTTTATGTTAAATACATATCATAACTGTAAATTAATTGCTTGTGAATGTTTATCATTACATCACTCACCAATGGATCCTGAAAGGGTGCCGTCAGAATGAGAGTCCAAACAGCTGATAAAAACATCACAATAATCCACAAGCAATCCACACGACTCGAGTCCATCAATTAATGTCTTGTGAAGCGAAAAGATGAACGCTGGAGAAAGCATTATTATGGATTGCGGACTGGTATTTTGACCATAAGTGACAGTTTAAAGTTAAAAGTTGAAATCTAGCTGTTTCATCACAACTTTAATAGTAGGATCGCTAGAATAATATTAATGTTATGTGTTTGCAACCATCAAATTCCATTGTTTTGCAAGAAACCCCACACTGTCATGGCTACCTTTATTTGTGCACACATTCATCTTCCTGAATGGAGGGAATCTGAGCTATGAATCAGTGAGTTAGGTGAGAGGATACCTTCTAATTATTGCATGGCCCCCAATACCTTCATTCCCCCTCCATGAGGATGGGTTACTGCTGCCTTATTAATAATTCATTCAACAGGAAGAGAGCACACTGAGCAATTTAACACAGTATAATCATGCTTGTGTCTTGTTACAGATCAGGTGCACAAACGCGTCCAGGACTGAGGCTGGGTGTCGTGTGTTTATCCTGCGCTGGGCTTGTGTCTCTTAGTTCTGAAGAGGGTGTTGACATGTATTGACTCATGCAAAAGGAAAATCGCTTTGCCACTGAGTCTCAAAGTCATTCTTCCTGGACTGGAATGAAACATGTGGGTTTGTCTTACTGTGGAAGGAGGAAAGAATAAAAACCGCAGTACATTTTTTTTAGGATTATGTCTGTAACTTTAGAGTATCCTATATTTACCCTAGTACCGTGCGTCTGGAGGGTCTGCGGTGTACTACTGCATGCCACGAATGCGTGAGAGGACAAATCCATTTTACGAACACTATGGAGTTTTGCAAAGAGTATTCTGAGTATTGGTTTTCAAACTGTAGAGTGAAACGGATTGAATTGCGGCCATGTTTTGTGCAAAATTCACTCTCAAGGGCCGTTCACAAAGAACACGTTTTTGCATGCTATTCCATTTTTTTTTTTCATGTAAACATGCACTAGATGGATGTCTTTGACTATCTTCCATAATACGCTTTCTAAAAATACAGCGCTCAAGTTAAAATAAGTTAAGTAACTCGTCTGCATTAGTTTTGCATGATAGGACTATAACACCTAGACATATCATGCAAATAAGGTCCAATTCTTGGACAAATTTTGCCATGATAAACTCATTATTTGCTGCTTGATAATAGTTATTAAGGTAGTTGTTAAGTTTAGATATGGGGTACAATTCAGAATAAGCCATTAATATGTGCTTTATAAGTACTAATACATAGCCAATATGATAGTAATATGCATGCTATTGAGCAACTAGTTAATATTAAGCAACTATATTGAGCTATATTGCTATATTGAGCAACTAGTTAATAATAGTCCTTAAACTAAAGTGTTACTGTAAATATTTTCCAAATAACATTTGCTTTAAATATATATACTGTATATACAGTGGGTACGGAAAGTATTCAGACCCCCTTACATTGTTCACTCTTTGTTATATTGCAGCCATTTGCTAAAATCATTTAAGTAATTTTTTTCCCCTCATTAATGTACACACAGCACCCCATATTGACAGAAAAACACAGAATTGTTGACATTTTTGCAGATTTATTAAAAAAGAAAAACTTAAATATCACATGGTCCTAAGTATTCAGACCCTTTGCTCAGTATTTAGTAGAAGCACCCTTTTGATCTAATACAGCCATGAGTCTTTTTGGGAAAGATGCAACAAGTTTTTCACACCTGGACTTGGGGATCCTCTGCCATTCCTCCTTGCAGATCCTCTCCAGTTCGGTCAGGTTGGATGGTAAACGTTGGTGAACAGGGGCCATTCACACAGAGTTGTTGTGAAGTCACTCCTTCGTTATTTTAGCTGTGTGCTTAGGGTCATTGTCTTGTTGGAAGGTTGGAAGGCGGCCCAGTCTGAGGTCCTGACCACTCTGGAGAAGGTTTTCGTCCAGGATATCCCTGTACTTGGCCGCATTCATCTTTCCCTCAATTGCAACCAGTCGTCCTGTCCCTGCAGCTGAAAAACACCCCCACAGCATGATGCTGCCACCACCATGCTTCACTGTTGGGACTGTATTGGACAGGTGATGAGCAGTGCCTGGTTTTCTCCACACATACCGCTTAGAATTAAGGCCAAAAAGTTCTATCTGGGTCTCATCAGACCAGAGAATCTTATTTCTCACCATCGTGGAGTCCTTCAGGTGTTTTTTAGCAAACTCCATGCAGGCTTTCATGTGTCTTGCACTGAGGAGAGGCTTCCGTCGGGCCACTCTGCCATAAAGCCCCAACTGGTGGAGGGCTGCAGTGATGATTGACTTTCTACAACTTCCTCCCATCTCCCGACTGCATCTCTGGAGCTCAGCCACACTGATCTTTGGGTTCTTCTTTTCCTCTCTCACCAAGGCTCTTCTCCCCCGATAGCTCAGTTTGGCCAGACGGCCAGCTCTAGGAAGGGTTCTGGTCATCCCAAACGTCTTCCATTTAAGGAATGGAGGCCACTGTGCTCTTGGGAACCTTAAGTGCAGCAGAAATTTTTTTGTAACCTTGGCCAGATCTGTGCCTTGCCACAATTCTGTCTCTGAGCTCTTCAGGCAGTTCCTTTGACCTCATAATTCTCATTTGCTCTGACATGCACTGTGAGCTGTAAGGTCTTATATAGACAGGTGTGTGGCTTTCCTAATCAAGTCCAATCAGTATAATCAAACACAGCTAGACTCAAATGAAGGTGTAGAACCATCTCAAGGATGATCAGAAGAAATGGACAGCACCGGAGTTAAATATATGAGTGTCACAGCAAAGGGTCTGAATACTTAGGACCATGTGATATTTCAGTTTTTCTTTTTTAATAAATCTGCAAAAATGTCAACAATTCTGTGTTTTTCTGTCAATATGGGGTGCTGTGTGTACATTAATGAGGAAAAAAAATTAACTTAAATGATTTTAGCAAATGGCTACAATATAACAAAGAGTGAAAAATTTAAGGGGGTCTGAATACTTTCCGTACCCACTGTATATGAAAATAGAAAATGTTACTTTTAATTGTAATATTTTTCAAATATTGCTGTTTTACTATATTTTCGATCAAATAAATGCAGTCTTGATGAGAATAAGATTTCTTTTAAAAACATTTTAAAAGTCTTACCGACCCCAAACTTTTGAATGGTACTGTATGTAAGGGAATAAATAAATGTATAGATATGTTTACTAGGAACAAGGATGTACCAGTAAACCACAGGGACTTCTGGTATGCCACTTACACGCTGTATAGCGTGTCTGAGACGGTGGAGAGCGAGGAGAGGCTCAGTGATGCTGCCAGTGGAAGTTCTGGTGGAGAGCAGGCGTCCAGCAGCAGACAGCACACCATGGTGTCCTTTCTCAAGCCTGTGCTCAAGCAGATCATCATGGCTGGCAAATCCATGCAGCTCCTGAGGAACCTGGACTGCAAGGAGACAGAGCAGCCGGATGGCTCCTCCAGAGGTCATTGTCAGAGAGGATAAATTTCAGTCAAGTTTAGTTTTTATGTATTTTTTTTTTAAGTAGTTTTTTTCCCCCCTAGTGTTAGTTTCAGTGCTTATCCTGTATAACATAAGAAATTTGTTCCCTCTGCCTATGATGACACACGCAAAAGAATACAAAGTTGTCACATATAACAACACGGCACTGTAGCACTTACTGACAATGACATGCGCTATAAATGTGCCAGTGCTGCTACATTTTGCAGTAACTTGGCATCCATGGGCACTTATGATTCAGCATCATGAACTACATACGCACATCTAGCGTCAGCTGGAGGTTGCGTCAGAGAACAACAACTAGTCACCAGTCTGTGTTCATGGCACAGACTTAGAAATATACTCAAGGCCTTTGTTGATTAAAACTGACAATATATTTCTTATTTTAATTGGTTCCCTCAACAACTGTCATTTTTATTTAAGAACCAGGGTTCTCAAGGTCTTGAAAAAACTGAAATTTTAAACATCAAAATTCTAGAGCTGGAAAAGTTGTGGAAATGAATACAATATAAAAAAGTAATGGACATTTCTATAATGAATATACATTTTTAATATCAAGCTCTAAAATATTTTGAGTAGACATTGCTGAGAAATGGCCAGTTCAAAATAATGAAAAAATATTGAATGTTTTTGTGATATATATTCCCATGATCACAAACAAGTGGAAAAGTCCAATAAATTCATGATCGAACCCTGAAGAACATCCAGTTCTTGAATCTACTAAAATTACAGAATGTAACTATTTTAATTTTAATTTAGTTATTTTATATTGATACCCCTGATTTCTTCAAATTAAAAAAAAATTGAAAACAAGCATCTGTGTCATTAAAGCAGAGATACCAGAAATACTGTCTTAGACAGGGTCTTTTGGACTTGTCTTTATGGTGTTATTTGGAGGAGTTACTACTTATTTCAGTGTCATGGATGTCAGATATACCCACCCTAAAAGTCATACAAAGAAAGAAATATGTGGTTGTTTATTTTAAATGTGAATTAGACCCCTTCTTGTTTAATAGTGGTTCATTTCAACATAATGCACTGATGGTCTGAAGTAATGTTCTCTGTAATTCTATTAAGTTTTCATCCATGTTGTTTTCAAGTTTCAGTTTAGTTTTTTGTTGCATGCTCACATTTTTACATTAGTTTTCGTTTGGTGATTACCATTTGTTTTTGTGTTTTAGTTGATTACTTCATTTTTATGTTTCTTATAGCTTAATATGTCTTAATATGTCTGACAATGATTAATGAATTCTGTCTCTCTGCAGATGCCGAAAGAAAGAGTCTGTACACGCTCTTCTTGGAATCAGTTCAGACACGTCTTCGGCATGGAGAAGAGTCACCCACAAATACGGTTACCAAGCAACAGGCAACTAAGAAGAGCCTGATCAAGATGCAGTCCATTGTAGCACGTCATCTGGAGCTGGATGACATCCATGACCCCCTGCTGGCCATTAATTTTGCAAGGTAACAGCAGAATACAGAATAAATGGTTTGACGTCACTGAAGTTCACACTTAGAGCAAAAATGTTAAATGTAGATTTGTGTTTTCAAAGATTGAAATTATATAAAGTCACTAAACTATGTTTGGTCATTCACAATTTCATTAGCTTGCTTTCCGTTGAAGTGATTGCGATATGTTATCTCTTGCAGGCTTTATTTAGAGCAAAATGACTTCCATGAGAAATTCTCTGGCGGCAATGTGATTTTGGACCGCTCCTCTGAGTCTGTGACATGTCAGACGTTTGAGCTTACGCTCCGCTCCTGTTTGTATCCACATATTGAGAGGAGATACATCGAATGCTGTGGCAACCTCATGAGAACCCTGAAGAAAGACTACAGGTGAGATACTGCAGATGAGTCCTTTGTGCATGAACCTCACAGTGTTGCTTTGTAGTGCATTTATGCTTAACTTTCTCATTTTTCATCTTAGGCTTCTGGGGTACTTGCAGGCCATGAGAAACTACTTCCTTTTGGAGGCTGGGGATACTATGTATGATTTCTACACAGCCATCTTTGACAAAGTTCTGGAGAAGGAGAGCTGGCAGCAGCTGGCTGCTTTATATTTTGGGCGTGTTTGCTTTAGTCTAGATAAGATCAGTGTTTGCAAATCCTTGAATGTCTCAGATGGAATGCATGTGATGTGAGAAGCATTCTAAGTGACGTTTGGAATGTCTCAGTTCAGGTGTTGAATCATGTGCTATTCATATACTTAACTGCCACATTCTAAGCCTCAGTGAATCTCCTCCTATAAATATTCCCAATGGGTGGTCTCTTTAATGGCATATAGAAGCCAAAGCTTCTTCCTACTTTGAGGAGGGTGCATGATCCTAATTAAGGTTTGTGTATAAGAACGTGTATTTGCTATTTCCTTTGCTCAATTTTCGTAGTTTCTGTTTTCAGCAGAAAGGTTATCGCTGGCAAGCAATGTGTATTTGTTGCAAATGAGCATTAGCGCTCCTAATTTGGTTCCTAGACTAAGCAGTGTTAATGTTTGGAGCAGTTTTGCATTCTTCACTGTAGGTCTGTTGGAAAATCTTTGGAGGTACTAAGAATGGTACAGTATTGGATTACATAGTGAAACAGCACAGGCGCCAATGATCAGATTAGGCTAAACCACAGGGGAAATGGATGGAAGATAAACCTTTACATGGTGCATTTGTGCTTTTGAAAAGTGCCAGTCTTAATAAATGGTCTAGACTCTAGACATACAGCTGGACCATGGAAGAAGATATATATATATATATATGTATATATATATGTGTATATGTAGGTTTTTTTTCATGGAGGAAAATGCTAAATGGCTATTGTGGCTCTTGTGTAAAACGCTTTACAAACCACAGAGTTTACCATGTACCAAAGTGCTGTACAGTTACAAAAAGATAAATTATCATAAGGAAATAAAATAAAATGAAACTTAAAATATTTAAAAAATACGTAAATATCTTTAAATATGTTAATCTTACATATATTTAAAGATAAATATACACTGAAAATATATTTATGAACACAAGAATGAAGTGAACAATTTCAGTTCAGATGCACTTTTCAGATCTTTAACTCACCAACAGAGAAAAATGTAAACAGAAACAGGGTGAGAGAGTTTGACAACAGATTGAGAAAGGAGCTACAGATAGACAAGATTAGACAGACTGAGAAAGAAGTTGGACTGAGAGATGGATATCAAGCATAGACAGACAGAAACCACCACACATGTTTGACAGCACGCTCAGGCTGCAGTCTCAGAGCCAGAGTTCCTGCCTGCTGAGCATGAATGCAGGGCTCTGTTCGCCGTCCCAGTCATCACATTCCTTCAGAGCCACACGGCCCAGCAGAGGAGTGGGCAGCAGTCGTGGAGCCTGGCCAGGATCTAACTTACAATACATCCAGTCTGCACACAGGCCTGCCAATAACCCCGTCATGCTCCCAAAATGTCACAGCTCATTGTCCGGCGGTTTGTCTCTGACGTAGGTGTGAAGAGCATTGTAGCCCTGAGGGATCACTTGGTCACTAAACACTCATTTTGAGATTAAACTAGCATGGTAAATGGTAGTTTTACCAACTGGAATGGACATTATGTTGAGAAACTTGCATAGCTATAATCAAAACATGATGATTCACAATGCAAAAAACTTAACAATAGTGTTATAAAATAGACAACATGTAAATGATGTACAAATGCGTTACAGCTGCTATTTTTCCTTGTAGAACAAGCTACTTTGACTTCTGTTTTTGTATTACATTTTTTAAAATGTATATTTTAGGAAATAGACATTGTCATTCTCACCTAATTGACATTGTGCCTTTTTTCCCCATGCAAAACTCTTATAAGAGGCTACAAGATATTATAAGACCAGGCAGAGGGGTAAAAACTATATATATATATGTATATAGTGTGTGTGTTTGTGTGTGTGTGTGTGTGTGTACATATACAAACCCAATTCCAAAAAAGTTGGGACACTGTACAAATTGTGAGTAAAAAAAATGGAATAATTTACAAATCTCATAAACTTATATTTTATTCACAATAGAATATAGATAACATATCAAATGTTGAAAGTGAGACATTTTGAAATGTCATGCCAAATATTGGCTCATTTTGGATTTCATGAGAGCTACACATTCAAAAAAGTTGGGACAGGTAGCAATATGAGGCCGGAAAAGTTAAATGTACATATAAGGATTAGCTGGAGGACCAATTTGCAACTTATTAGGTCAATTGGCAACATGATTGGGTATAAAAAGAGCCTCTCAGAGTGGCAGTGTCTCTCTGAAGTCAAGATGGGCAGAGGATCACCAATTCCCCTAATGCTGCGGCGAAAAATAGTCACCCATAGAAAACATTTGGCGCATCATAAAGAGGAAGAGGCGACAAAGAAGACCTAAGACAGTTGAGCAACTAGAAGCCTGTATTAGACAAGAATGGGACAACATTCCTATTCCTAAACTTGAGCAACTTGTCTCCTCAGTCCCCAGACGTTTGCAGACTGTTATAAAAAAAAGAGAGGATGCCACCCAGTGGTAAACATGGCCTTGTCCCAACTTTTTTGAGATGTTGATGCCATGAAATTTAAAATCAACTTATTTTTCCCTTAAAATGATAGATTTTCTCAGTTTAAACATTTGATATGTCATCTATGTTGTATTCTGAATAAAATATTGAAATTTGAAACTTCCACATCATTGCATTCTGTTTTTATTCACAATCTGTACAGTGTTACAACTTTTTTGGAATCGGGTTTGTATATTAATTGCATTTAAAAAAAATTAAATAATGAATTCAAATATCAAATAAGATAATACTAATGAAAATAACCTATTAAAAGGTTTTTCCTACTTTAAGATCGTATACAGAACTTCAAAAGCATGGTTCTTTATAGAATCTTATAAAAAGGGTTATATTTAGTGCCAAAAAGGGGACTGCTAATCTGGTGCTGTTTAGAACCATTTTTCTTAAGCGTGTATCTGCCTAAAATGAGCTTCAACTTTAAGGAATACACTAACATATATAAGACCTCTAAACGAAACCACATGATCTAAAAAGCCACACAATTGATCTAATGGGGTCTTAAAGTATAGATATGCACCAGTCATACCAACAACCATGAACATGTTTACTATCATTTGTACAGGATTGTACATGTCAGAACTTTGTATACCCAGAAACCTGCTCCTCCAGCTAAGAAAAAAAAAAGTTTGAAGTCATGCAATGTAGTTTAATGCCTTTAACACCCTTTAAATGTGTGCCTAAATCCCTCCATAAAGTGTCATGCATGGGTGTTCCTCCTAAAAACAGATTTAGCACACTGCAGTGGATAAAATGCTGAATAGATTAGATTTTGGAGTTGCATTATAGGGTGTGTCCATGATCCCGTGGTACTGTTTCCATCAGCCGCCTTAAAGAGCATTAAAATGAGGAACAGTATTCTGGTTTTGCCAGTGCATTGCATCAAAGCAGTTTTTAATAGTCAGGAAATCAATGCCCTCTGCATCTTTTTAGGAACTCTCCCTCTCTGGTCAGTGAGTGTTACTACAGCGTTTTGTGGCAGACGGGAATGGCATCTCCGTGTTTTAATCTCTGGAGTTCAGCCAGCTATGGAAGGAGTGAGTCATCCGGTCAAATTTTATACAAATACACACATAAACACAGAGAGAGAGAG